AGACCGAGACCATCAATAAATGGTCTCGAGACCAAGACTGATCTCAAATACTACACTGGTTACCTGACATGTGGTAAAGGGTTTGATGCTCCACAGGAACTGGGGGACGTCCTGGATCGACACCTGGAGGCTGAAGGTGTTCGCTCTGAAAGGCAACGTCTTTGGCTCCTCGAGGAGTTGACCCCCTCTGGACGTCTCGGCGGCCACCACTCCCTGAGGACGAGAGGATGCAACGCACAGTGTGACGAACGGTGGACAAGAGAGGAGAGCGAGGAAATGAAACTGAAAAGGAAAGGAAGAGGAAACAACGACTAGAGGAAAACAGGAAGGAAACGGAGAGGAAGCTGTGACTGACCAAAATAAAGAAACTAGAGTCAATCAGAAAACCCAGAATCCTCTTTTCCCTTTTGAACGTACACTTCCTTTGCATATCAGCACCGACACCTGTTGCTAATCCTTTCGACTGTCACATCTGCTAATTGACTCACAGCAAATATTAACACAGAAGCAGGCCGCCATGAAGTGACATCCGAGTCTCCGCCGAACAAATCCTACAAGTTGCGCTCCCTCATTAGCATCCCATTTACGGCGGCGACATGACAGACTTGAGCTCCACGGCAACGCCGGGGTGATTGGTGTGTTTTCTGGGAGTGTGTGTGGGGGGAGGAGTGGAAGCGTGGTAGAAGGTGTCCACCCCCCTCCCCCAAATTGAATTCGAGATGATGAAAGAGCACTTTGTGGCTCGCAGGTATTCATCTGTCATCGCTGCTCAGCATCCGCCTGCCTGCCTGACCACAACTGCTGAAGGAGCGCAGTGAGAACGCAGATGTAGTTTCCTCCATTTCGTTTGGTTTTTGCTCCCAAATTGCACATTTTACGTTTACATCGTAATTTAGATAGAAAGCAACATGCAACTTTCCGTCTTTCCTGAAGGTCTAAGTCTACACTGAGCTCACAAGACGAGAGAGAGCGCTCGATGCTGAGTTTACAGCAGGGAGATAAGATTTTAATGAGATTCGGAAAGATTTCAAATCTGTGATTATTCACAAACTGTGTTTTAGAAAAACTCTTGATTAATTCAAGTATTTTAGATTTTAATCCAAATTCCCTAAAAAATGTAAAAATCACCCTTTAGTTTGTGATAGCAGATGCTAGCTTTAGCTTTAACATTTAATGGTTGGCCGACAACACCTTGAAATCGGGGCTCTGTCTCTTTAAAAACTCAGGAAGTCATCACAACGAGTAATGAGCTCAGCAGATGTGCAGTTCCACCAGGTGTTTGCTAATTGCTTCTGTCTAGTCTGAAGGAGCTGAGTGGGGGAGTGGCAGGGGAGGAATGGTTGTCATGGAGACTGAAGGATTTCTCAACCAGGCATCAAAGACTAAAGGCAACACTCCAGGTATGTTTTCGATAAAGGAATAACATCACAACATGATGGAAAGTTTTCATATAATACTGCCCGTCTATGAAGATTCGTACATCTGTCTGACTCATTGATCAGAGTTTAAGCTTATCAAACAAGCAACTTTTTTTAAATTTATTTTTTGTTTTAATAGGGTCAGATACTGCTGCCTTTGAAGAGGCAGAAAGTGAAGCAGCAACAAGAGTCAAACCTTGGCTAGAGTTTGTGGCTAGTAAACGTTTCTAGACATGTAGTGTGGTCAATCTCATGTGACTCATGTATATGGCTCCATTCATTTTTCACTACTGGTCCCTCGTGCTTTCAAGAGCTAGAAAAATAAATTTGACCTTCAAACAGCCTTGAGCTCATTTTCTGTATCGAGGTGAGTCTCCTCGATACAGTATGAAGAAAAAGAAAAGATCTGGAGCTGCCCACCACTTCCAATAGCAGCCTGTGATCTGGGACCAATTCAAAGATGTCTGTGTCATAATAAGTGAAGGATTTTATTCGAGCCTTCCTAGATCAGCCTTTTCTGCGGTGGACCAAAGCAAACTCATGCTGGGAGCTTCATACATTATTCACTCAAGAAAATGTGTAAAATTTAGCCCAATAAACACGGGCTTATAGGAGAAAATCAGTGGAACGGCAGTAACAGCTTTCCCCTTTAAAATGTTTTCAGCAATATTGCCGGTTTAGGATTCATGTTTTTTTCTTTTTTTTGTTTGTTTTTATTTTCACAAAATGAGATCTCACAATAGGCACAAATATGATTTGATAATGAATTTATTTTGCAGCGTGGCTCTTAAATGTCAACACAATTACTGGGGGCTGCATTGGGCTGTCCGCTGGAGGAGATCAGCTCCATAAATAGATGAGAATATCCTCCGTTATTAATCCAGAGGTTACAACTGGTAATGAGGATTGGTTTTGGAACTACCAACAATGCCAGCGTGTATCCTCCACTGACACCAACACGGTTTAGGTCAAATGTGTGTGTCCAGTCTGGTCTTGTGATGTTTCGGTAGGACTGAGTGTGTGTTGCTAGTGTTGCTAAGTGTGTGTTGCTGTGCTGCTGAGCATGTAGCAAGCTGTACTTTTGGAGTTTGGATTAAATGTCTCATTTTTTCAGGACTGACCTCTCTGGGAAGCTTGGACATTTCCAACTTTGCTTGTTGCAATAAATCAATATATGGCATGATGAATAATAATAATAAAAAAATCTCAATAATTTCCATTTTAATGTTATACCATTTTTCTCTTTTCTCTCTTTTTCTACCAAAGGTTAGATGATAAAAGTCTTCAGTCTGATGCTTTGGTCTCAACCATAATGAAATAATATATATAAAAAAAACCCTTTTAATTTGAGATATATTTAATTTATTTTAAATTTGTAAAGCTGTACAAAATCTACCACTAAACAATCTAATTTAAGGCATTATATTCCAGCTGGCAAGGCCTGTTAATCAATTTAAATTTGAAACAGTCAAGCAGCAACTTACTGTTAATTTTGGCACTTTAAAAGCGCCTCATTAGAGAAGGCAGGCTCGCGCTCCATGCATGAGCGCAGACGAAGGGCAGTGGAAGTTTTTCTGTAAACTGCCAGTTTAAGTCATTTGGGAAATGGTTCGCTGGCAATTTGCATCCAAGTCGTCCTCACAAACCAGTTTCTGTGAAACGGGCCCCTGGGGACCCGGTGTCTTGCTTCAAGCGGTTGGGATGCAATTTGTTAAGAAATCAAACACTTCTGATTAATGCTGCTTGATACGCTAAAAAAAAAAAAAACTTAACTGAAATTCATCATTTTGTGAAAAAATATAAATAATTTTGATACAATTTTTGAAAATGTACACTGAATCAAGGTTTTTATAGTCAACTGAAATTAAGAAATAAAAACTGCAATTAATGGGGACAAAGTATAACTAATTGGAACTATATTGTGTGTTTATAAACCTAATTAAGACATATTTAACTTAGAGATATAATATCCTTTGTTTTTGTGTTATGAATCTATTTATTAGCCTTTCAAATTTATGTGAAATAGATTTTCTTTTCCCCACAGAAGCAGTTTAACTGTCAAATTACTGTACTCCACTGTCTGCAAAATGACAACAGCAAAAGTTGGGAGAAAACTCAGTCGTTCAACAATGAGTGAATCCATTTTATGAAAATGGTATCTTCTGTTGATTGATTGCCCAAGAATCAGAATCACAACACAATCCTTTGACCTTTTGGAATTCTGCACCTAAAAATTAACCAAAGTATGAAAAAAAACTACAGCAGTGGCATGGTGAACTGTCGCACTTCCACAAATGTGTTCTGAATCTGCTCTGTGGCTGATTTTGTCCTGCAGCTCTGGAAAACACGCAACAGAGATGCGGCGTTAACAGGAAGGAAAGCCCGAGGGATGCGCAAAACGTCTGGCATCTGCTCGGCAGGCTGCCGACCCATAAAGCCGACCCAGGGCGCGTCTTAAAGCCAGCTGCTGCTGACTTCCTGCAACGCCACGCAGGAGCGGCCGGGAGTCAGCCACCGGCTCGTCCCTGATCACCTAACCTCCTCTCAGGGGAGCCAGGGGTGAAGTCTGATTTCCCTCAGGTTCGTTCACAACACCTCATTTCTCAAAAGGCATGTACGGTTGCTTGCTAAACGAAGAGCCAGTCAAGATTTAAGATTTAACATTTGAAAGACTGTGGCGTCAGACTATTACAAGCATATGCAGAGCATCATAACAGAGTCCTCACAAAGCAGCCGTCTTGTTTCGCCGAGGTAATGAATCTGCCGTTGCTCACATGGCGTCGCTCTCTGTGGCCCCTGCTGCCTCACAGAAACAAGCCAACAAACGCACAAGGTGTGCCCTCTGAACGTAGGCCGAGCCTCTCCCGGTCGTTCAAGTGCATCTGTGCATCCTTCTGCTTTTGACAAAGACTCCGGAAATAAAGCAAAGCTCTGATGGCTTATTTGAAGAAAGGCTGCAGCTTCTCATTTGTCTGAGATGAGTTAACCATTCTTGGATGAAAAACACACAAAAAAATAGATTTCCAGTGAAAGTCCTGTAATTTAATGCAACCACATCTAACTAGTTAAAGGGGCAGTATTATGTGTATTCCAGGCATGTAGTGCCATTTTATAGCATAATCACGCAACTATGGTAACTTTAGGTGTCATAAAAATGCTATATATAGAGATCCAATTTCAATTTAGCAAACTGAAATTGGATCTCTGTCTCGTTAAAAACTTCTGCTCTTTCTGAAACTCCGCCTTAAGGAAGTCATCCCAACATGGCTCCTCTATCAACTCTTTAATGTTTTTACCAGCGACGCTCTGAGAAGTAGCTGGTACAGATCTCAGCATATGTGCACCAGGTGTTTGCTAATTGCTGCTGGCTAGTCTGAAGGAGCTGAGTGAGGGAGTAGCAGGGGTGTTTTGTGCAGCGGGAGCTAGGAAGCTGCAGTTGAGAGGAGGAGCTTCGTCTTGAAGACAGGGCTCAGCTAACTGGACTCAGAGTTGAGCTACCTTGTTCTGAAACCTGAAAACCCCGACTATCACAGAGCCAAGTAGGTCTACTCAGAGTATCTCTCTTCTGTTCTGTTCAGAGTTTAAGCCTGCTTTCTGAAAAAAAAAAAGCAGATAAGTTCCAGTTTTCAGGCACTAGGGAACAATGACTGCGTTTGCGTCAACAGTTTTATTATTAAGAGAAACGCAACCCAACCACAGCCATGAAAAGCTACAACGAAACAAATCTAACTTCCAAATTCCAAACACCTGAAAGGCGTGCGGCGTGTCGTCCACACAGTACACCCGCAGGCTGTAGTTCAGGGCGCCCGCCTCCACGCTCCCAAACACGGCCAGCTTCAGCCTCTTCACGGCCGCCTGTGTCAGCGGCTCGCCCACCAGCGCGTACGAGCCCGGCTGGTCCAGCAGCAGGTGGCAGCTGCTCGAATCCATCAGGCAGTAACAGGAAGTGGACTCCTCTTCCACTGACATCACTTCCTGCCAAGGTAAACAAAGAGAACACGCATGACGGGTTGCAGACCTGAAGATAAATACGAACACGTTGAACATTTTTAATTTTTGCATGGCCAGCTGAGCAACCTAAAATGAAAATGACACTAGAGAGCTTCAACACATTTATGTTTTTTGAACTTATTTGATTTATCCAAGCGTATACTCATTTTAGAAACAATTAACTGAAAGTATGTCCAAAATTTAGCAGGTGATGTAGATCAATGGCAATTCAGAGGGTCAAAATGGCTGAATGTGCCTCTATGTGGTTAAGTAAAATTAGGGTACAAATGATACAACACAGCACACATGCACCTCATTGGTCAGACGTTATGTACAGACTTCCAGCAGGGCTTTCAATTTATGGCAAATTTGAAATATGATAGGATATGCTTCCACACAGTTCAGTCATATTGTATTTCAGTGAAGGCTTGGTCCACATGAAGCTGGATGTATGGGAAAACTAAAACATTTTTATGAGTTTTGGCATTTCACCCACACAAAAAAACTCAGTTTAATATCATTAGAAATGCTTATTTATTTAAAATAAAATTAAAAATAACTCAGACTAAAGTGGATATTTGAGAAAACTCCATATTTGTGTTTGTGTGTGTACATGGAAAAAAAAAAAAAAAAGATTTAGGGCCCCGTGCATTACACTCTGCGCCAATATAACCACATACTTGCCTTGACGTGAATCCCAATAAACATTGTCTTGTTTCATTTCATTAACTTTACATTCTAATAAACTATTTAAAATGACTTCAACCTCTGTGTCTGTCCACATGACTGAACCTTCTGGTGCCATGTTGAATTCCTAACAGGAAACTGTGATTGTTTGAAGCAATCTGATAGGCTGACATAGGTTTTGGCTTTGCGCCACAGTGCCTCCTATGGGCTCGGGATGTTTAAAACAGCACTCAGTGGCGGATGTGTGCGGGTTTATGTGGATTGAAACTTTTCTGAAACCCGTAACGTGTGTATGATATATTTATAAAAGATGCGGTAGAGATATTCTGACTACGTGTGTAAAAGACCTAAGATTGAAAACCTTGCATGAGAGTAGAAAAAAACACCCCTCAGTAATCAGAACCAACACACTGCTGCTGCAGCCGTTTCACATGGCAGACAAAGCTGCTAGTCTTCAGTATAGAGAGAAATAGGAGCTGCATCAATATCATGACAGAGACAATTAACTTTAGCACGAGGTGATGCTGCTCTCAAATCATAAGTTAGGTGACATATGGTAGGTTTAATCACACAGCATGAACTCAGAGAGGTTGGAAGCTGAACGTAGAAAGCCATTTCCTACATGAGTGATGTTGTTAGTACAGAGCTGAACAAAATGTTGTCATTACAAACAACACAGACTGTTTTATTTATGAGATGACTCGAGCAGCTGGAAAGCACTTCATTATTTCCAACTGGAATGAAGGAATCTGTTTTTTCTTCACTCTTGCTTTCCCCTAAATCACACCTCAAGGGACAAATTCCTCAAACAGTAACTAATAATGATAGGGAAAGCAGGTTCTTCAAGGAATTAGATTTTTAATGGCAGTAAAATACTCCAGGAAAGAAAAAGTGGGTGTAGGATTCAGATTATCCCCCCACCTCAGATTTGTTCAAGTGGTTTTTCAAGAACCTCCTCACAGTACAGTCACACAGCGCATTGTGATCCGCTCCCTGGCAAGGAGACGGAATCCGTGAAATTCATGCGAAGGTACGATTTAATGAGGAGCAGTGAGACCAAACGGCGTGCTAAAACACAGCTGGAGGAGCCGTCTCCGCTCACAAATAATCAAGTTAACTGGCAAAGCGCCAATTAAAAGTCATGCTAGCAGCAGTCACGTCATGCGAGACAGGAGAGCTGCACATGTTCGCTCCCTGCCCGTCTTGTTTTACTGCAGCTTTCACCAGATTACAGCGCTTTACAATCTAAGGCCGAATGACTCCAAGCTAATCTTTTCCAAACCGTGTTATGTTTTGTTTTGTTTTTTTATTGTAAGCTGAGATTCGTTGTGGTTCAGTCTCTTTGACCAGAGACCGGCGGGACTCCGTGCATTTTCAGTTGCCTCATCAAGCAGATTCTGATCAGACGGAAACAATTAACTTTCCCTGAGATTGCTACAACATTTTTTAGAAATACAAAAAGCAAAAGTTGGAGGACCGTAGACAATTCATGGTGGACTCATAACAAGAAAATGGAGGAGGGTTTTGAGAAAATTTAGGAGGATATTTATACTTAACATGTTGTGTAATAACAGGAACAAAGAGAGGAATTAGAACAGAACAAGAGAACTGTAGGAGTTTATGCGATCCTGTGTAAACTGTCAACGTACAACAAAAGTGGTTCAGTTCCACAGTTGCTTTTGTTCCTCTCAACAAAAACAAGTTAGACATTTAACAAAATACGAACATTGCTGCTGGGTAGTGAGGGTCCACAAATTTGGTTGCTATATCGTCTTTTAGCTCACAGCTATGTCTACATGAACCCCACCTGTAAACGTCAGCAACATGACCAAATATTACTGATTGATGTTTTCAACCATTATTTTATCAGGGAGTTCCTTGAGACAACATATCATTCAGAGGAGACCTGTTGGCGGCTCCTGTTTAACATCTAGAACATGACAATACGGCTGAAACAATTAATCAAATTAATTGTGATTATTTATGTTTAATTGTGTTTAATCGATTATTGAAATGATCATCAACTAGCTTAGTAATCCATTAATCATTACTTGGAGCATACAGACTCCAAGGCCATTTTGCTGAAAGAACAACACACCCAGAGCAACAAGTAACCCTAAAACTGTACAATAAATATATATATATTTTGTGTATTTATGACAACAAAAATCCTTTGTCTACTCAAAATTCATCAAGTGGCAGCTTTAGCTTCACCTGACTCAAATTCTGTGAAAAAAAATAAATAAAGTGGGAGTGTTATATAAAATCAACTTTTTCAGCTTTAAATCATGTTATGTTGTTCCCTCTTCAAAAACATATCTGGAGTGTTGGTTAAATAAAAAAACAAAATCTGCAGAATGTGGAATTTTCTAAATCTAATTCATTGATTAATCCTCAGGATAATTGATAGATTCACCAATAGCACTAGTTGCAGCCCAATCTGACAGTCTGCCCTGCTTTACTGATGAGACGTGAACTGCTACCATTTGGTTCAGCCCCATCCTAGTCAGGTGATAGGACTCCTGTAAATACTTTATGTTTATGCATTTTGTATTTATGCCTTCTGCTTTCTCATAAGCGCAGCTTAACACACTGCGTTATGGTGTTGAATAATAACACAGCTTGGCTGGGAGTGTTGAGGACTCTTGTGAGTCATATGCATTTTAATGACAGCAGAAATGAGGGTGTTTTAATGGCACTGTGGATTTGGAGGTATTATGCATCTTCAAACCCTTCTCCCTCTGCCTCTTTAGGTTAAACCTCAATGGTGAGTCATTATTTCCAACCAAGAAGCTCCAAGGAGCTCTGTGCCCTTTTAATATTAGAGTGAAATCTCAAAGTGACATGAATCTTGACTCCGTTCTTATTTCCTCTGTTCTTTTCTTTCTCCTCTCACTCAGAACTCTGGCACATCTTAAGAAATTGCCTCCCTTTTGTCACACAAGAGCAAACAGAGGATGCTTGTAAAAGCCAAGGTTACATAAACATGAATCTGAAGTCAAGGGAGAAGCAAACAAGGATTTTTGTGGTGCAAACTGGCTTTTTCCCTCCCCCATCATTATTATTATTATTATTATTATTATTATTATTATTATTATTATTATTATTATTGTTATTATTATTACATGTTTCTTCTTCATGCTTTTTATTTTTTTGCTGCATTTGCTGATGCTACCTACCATTTGAGAATCTGTGTTGATCTGGGTTATTCCAAGATATTTTTCTAAATAAATAAAAAAAGAAAAATCTCTCTCTCTCTCTCTCTCTCTCTCTCTATATATATATATATATATATATATATATATATATACACACACACACACACACACACACACACACACACACACACACACACACACACACACACACACACTTTGCATCTGGAGCACATTACACTCAGTTGAAATGCTGTTTTGTCACCTACTTGTTCACTGCCATGAGAATTTATTTGAAGAAAACTGCCACATTTTATTCCCAACTGGGATCAGAGGTGCATTATGTAACTTTTATTAAATAAAAAAAGATGTTTGTTTTTTTTTTTTTACATATTTTTTAAACCATCACTATGTTGTGACAGTGTGGTATGAGACAGATAATCGGTGAAAAAATGGATCTCCTCCAACTACTACTGCCTGCTGTGAATGCTAAAGCTGTGAATGCTAGCTTTAGCATTCACAACAGGCTGTGCTAGCTGCAGGTAGCAGAGAGCCACCATATGTTTTTTTTTTTTTTTTTTTTTAAAATTAAAAAAAGGTACAAAGGGACGCTTTTATTAAGGACTTTGAGTTGAATTTTGCCAATTGAACAGTATTCTGTGGAGTCTTTGTTTGGGGCTCGATAAAGAAGCAGCTTGAGCTCTTTGATATTCCCAATGACAGAAGACAAAAGTTAACAATGAAGACTGTAGGCAGCAGCGACCCAAATAACACTTAAGAAGTGACAAGCACCATAACAGCCAGTGGCAAACCTGCACCATTCATTATTCTGATCTATTCTGGGCTTGCCAAAGGTTTACATCATCTTTACGTTTCCATTAGTTCCCGACGTACCGTTCTCTTCATTATAACCCAATCCCAACATGGCAATCTTCTTTTCCCACTTGTCTTGTAATCATTCTGCCGGTTGCTGCCCCAAAACTCGAGCAAGTAATGCGAGGCGACAACTGCTATTGGGGCATGTTATGCCTCTGGGCCAGGGATTAAACTCTCTGGATTTCATCCAGACAAGTGAAACAATCAGCACCAATGGGGGAAAAAGGACAGAAAAAAAACAAAAAGAAGGGATGAATTCAGGAAAATACAACGTGTCCTGTTGAACAGCAGCATTAACGAGCAGCGAGAAACAGAAAAATGAGAGCAATGCCACTCTGTTGAGTTTAAAATCAATGCTTGATCAACTGTGTGTGGCCAGAGAGCCAAGGTCATTGGAGGAACAACTCCCATGATTTTGCTCACGATTGCCCTACGCCTAAATTCGCTGTGTTGTGCCTTTCCTGATCTAATAATCGATAGTTCTTGTGTCCAACTCCCCCAACGCCTGTCTGCCATTCTCTCCTCGCAGACTGACAGCAGCCATGCCTCTCTCTGGCCATTACAAGCTGTAATTGTTTCTTTATTTCCCTCCTGACAGAGCAGCAGTGTTACATCCACATGGCCTTATGTCACACTCTGGAGGCCGAGCGGATCGGAGGTCGCATCAATCAACTCGCCCAAGTAAGCCTGACAGTCTTTTATGAGTGGCACATAGCTCACCATATATCACACTGACTAAGTGACTTTTGTCTTATAAAGTACATATTTACAGATAGCCAAGCAGAGGGTGGTCACCAACAGTTTAAATGATCTGTGTTGGGAGGAATAATTGTCTAATATTTGATTTAATACGTTTTTTTCCTTACCAAGACATTCAGAAATCTCATTTTAATTGATCCATTTTAATGTTGTTGAGAGATAGATTAAGGGAAAAAAAAAAAAACTTTTGTCATTTGAATAAAAAATGATGAGGGTGCGGCACAGGGTCAAAGCACAACCCATGTATTGAGGCCTCATGTCCTCATGCCGGTGGTCGCAGGTTCAATTCCCAGCCAGGTGACATTTGCCGCATGTCTTCCCTCTCTCTCATTAGCCTCTGTCCTGTCGAACTACTTTCAAATAAAGCCCACTAGAGCCAACAAAACCTTAAAAAATGAATAACAAGCAAAATATGACATAAAACATGATAGGAGAACCTTTGTTTGGTGACCACAGTGATAAAGATATTTCTTATGGCACCATATCAGTACCAAAACCTACTCAGTTTTTCATGATAAATTGCACTTTTTTGTTGATTTGTTTCTGAATCAGTTATTTTAAATAAAGATTTTAAAAAGTGCATTTTTTCTTAGATAAAAACATATTTTTCTTCTAACAATCAAAAAAGCCCAGTTTAACAAGTTTGGCCTTTCTCAGAAATTTTAATCCATACTGGTTTTCATCGCTGCCATTTGGGAACCAATAAAGTATTTTTAATTGCATTGAACATGACTCCTTCAAACAAACCACTTCATTTAAAATATTTACCCTCAGCTCATCAGAAATAAGTAAAATATGGCTCAATTTACACTTTGTATCAAACACCGTTTATTATTCACATAGGAAGTCCACAAAACTTCACAAGAAAAAACAGCAACTAGAGGTTGCTGGAGCTTAACGTAATTTAAATAGTGGAGAAAACATTCATTTAACTAAAATTCACATTTTTTAAAAATCTATACATGTATAACCCAGTGCTCAAAGACAAGCTGCTATTGCTTTGACTTGACCTAACTTGGAGACAGTATGTGCAAACAAGAGGCAGACAACATATTCAGCCTCAGCAAACAAAGTGAGCTGACAGATCTGTCTGGCTCCTGAGCTACCAAACCTCTATTACTGCTGACATTTAGCTACAAAGAAAAACGGAAGTACAAAGGAAAAGATAAGCAATGCGGACCAAGTGGCATTTTCTGAGCCAGGTTCGGATTGGACACACTGTAATGTACTTGACAGGTGTTCGGCCTGCGGCTTACCTCCCATTTGTCGTCCTGGGTTTTCCTCTTGAGCTGAATGTTCCAGTTCTCAGCATCCACCTCTGCACAGTGGGCGACGGTCATGGCAACAGGACAAAAGAGATCCAGGCCTGAAGGACCGTACGTCACCTCTGGGCCCAGGAGGATTTCACAGCCCTCCAGTGTCTGGGCGCTAAGCAGGAAAACACACACAAGTACACAAAATGTTTTTGTTTTTGATGTTATTTCGCAGAAATCATCAGAAACAAGCATGCAGTCTTTTTTGGTAAATGCTGAAGTGAATAACTCAAAGAAATTGTGTTATACATTCATCTGATATTAAACTACACTAAAACGGGACACTAAGTGACAGGATAATAATTAGAGTTTTTTTCAGATGATTTTTATTACTTCCTTCAAATTCAGAAAATTAGGTACATTTTCTCAGTATTGGGTAAAAAAAAGTTTAAACTTTGTGGCCCCCTTTGTATAAAATAGATTTCTTTTGACAAGTATCTGACATCAGTTTTCTGGGATTCTGTTCTCTGGGACTGAGATAAATGTTTTGTGATGACCACTCCAAAATTTTAACTGTTTAAACTAATTTGGCGGTGCATTGTCCATTTGGAGAAGCCATTGATTGTCTGCCTGATGTCTTAAGATGATGTTGGACATTTTCACACAGTGTACTTTCCTTGCGATCCTCCTTCAGCAAAACAATCACACAATACAATGGTGCCTCCGCTGCACTTCACAGTTGGGATGATGTCGATGCCTCAAACCTCTTTCCTCCAAAAGGAACCTTACTGTCACCATCAGACCACAGGAAACATATCTGAAAATGAAGTTACTTTGTAAACTGAAATCTGCTTTTTATGTTTCGTTTCAAGTAATAGCTTCTTCCTCTTTGAGTGGCCTTCAGGCCTTTCAGTCCATTTCAATCCCAGACACAGATTGATACAAAAACAAAAAACATGTTATGACAAATTCAAAATATTCGATGACCTACAACATCCATATGTTGTTTAAAATCAACTTAGAACATATCCTTCTTTTAAGTTGATTTTATTTTATATTTTGGGTGGACATTGTTAAACACCTGCCTCATTGAAATAGCTATACATCCATGATGTTCAAGCTGGGCCTGTAATAAATCTCACACAGCTGGCGGCTCCATCTGCAGCACAAGGTGCCCCTGTTTGTATTTGAGCTGCTGCGCCCCAAGATGTCTGCCCACGCCACTGACTATCCACCTCCTTTTTCTTTTGTCATGCTTGCAGAGACATAAAAAGTTACATCACCAGGGCTGTTGCAAATTGTTTAAAGAGCTAATAACTTTTGGAGAAAGTTATTAACTTCTGAGCCAAAACGGGAAAAGTTTGATATTTCAGTACAGACAGCATTAAAAGAGGTATATCTTTTTTGTATGTAAGAATCTGATTGCAATGACAGCTCTGGAAAAATGAAGAGACCACTGCCCTGAACCCCATTAAAAACCTCATGATTATTAAACCTAATATTGATTTCTGAACTGTTCTTGAGTTCAAACATTTGTGTTGTTGTTTCTACATGAATATGAACTTGTTTCCTTTGCGTTATTTGAGGTTTGAAAGCTGAAAGCGCTGCATCTTTTTCCGTTATTTTGACCATTTTTCATTTTCTGCAAATAAAAACTACATTCTTGCTTTTAACTCCTGTCAGTAGTTCATAGAATAAAAGAAAAATTTTCACTTTACTCAAATATATACCTGTAACAGTTTTAGTCAGATTGCACATGGCGCTGTAACACTGTAAGTGCTGTTCAGACTTTCCATATTTAAGCTGTTCTATTTGTCACAACAGACGTGTTGTGTTCATTTCCCTTTGAGCCTTTGTTCTTGCAGCGAGGAAAACAGACTAATGAGAGGAGCCTGAACGCTGCTGGGATCCGGATGCATCCCTGTGGGGTCGCACTTCCAGGTCCGGACGCCTCAGAGCCGGCGTGTCGCCGACTTTTGGCTCCGTGAGTTCAAGTTGTTTCTCTGTGCTGAAGGACGGCAAGAATTAGCTCCGGCGCAGGTGAAGAGTCGCCATGCTCTGACTTTGAGTCGGAGCGTGCTCATTAAAAGCTGCTTACAACAAACATGTGTGGTGGCAGCAGCAGATGGGCTCCGCTGCAGGGATAGTGCATAAGGAAAACAAGTTAACGAAGATCTGTGTGCTGCTATCAGTATCCACGGGTCACAAAGACGGTGGGTCATTTGTTAGCTTTGCTCCGCTTTAGTGAAAGCCATAGGTAAAATAGTCTTAAAAATCTATGGAAACAAGCTAGAGGAGTTATGCATTAGTCACAGTTCAGTGAAACAGCAGATTTTCCCTCAATGTATTTTAAGCCTGACGGGCCTCCAGGCTTTACTTGTGCTGCCACCAGGCTAAGAGTTGTTTGTTTATTTATTATAGTTGTTTTTATTATTGTTATTATTATACACCAGTAACTGTGCTACGGGTTAAAGAGTTTCTTAGTTAGAAGCACAATGACAACATAGTACAGTCAGTATCGCACAGGGATACTGAGGTCAGGTGTCATTTTTTATTTTCTGTCTACACACTAACAGCTTCAATAAAGAAAGTAACAAGTCACAAATAAAGGGTCAAAACACTTTGGACACTTTCATTAGAATGACATGCAAAAATGAATATTTTTTTAATTGTATTTTTTTTTTTTAGTTTTATGTATTTTTGGTCTGATTTGAAATACAAAAAACAGTCTAGCCACAGCCACAACAGCCACAGAGGGCCACCAGTTTGGACACCTGTGATTAAAGTGAATTCTTTGTAACCAGTGACACTGAAATTAGCTTAAACAAATGTGATGTATCAAGGTGAATTCAGTAAATTCAGAAGAAGGATCATTAAACAGGATTTTCACGCTGTTGGCTAAGCTTAGATGCTGTTCTTCCCTATGAAATATTGATTTGAAAATTGCCTTTAGTTTTTACCCTGATTATTTCTGTCTAAAATTATAATTATAATTCTCCCTTTTTTAGTAAAACAAAAAAGGGAGAAATCTGGAAGAGCAAGTGATTTTTCATCACGCTGTATCTTCTCTTCAATTATTCAGCAGATTTAAAACAGATTCTAGTATTATGCATCTATGTTTGAGATGTTAACGAGGACAAGATGATGGATGAATGGGTGGATATGTTTACTAGTGTAACATTTAAATAAGCAAATGAAGGCATAACATTTACACTTGTGGTGTTAACAATAATAATAGTACAATTATTAGTAATTCCTCCTGTCTAAATAGTGCTGTGATGACAACATAAACAGTGTTTTCTTTATCTAAACTTTAGGTTCTTGCTGTTTTTCAGGCGACTCTCAGGCCTGTCAGCAAAGGCTTTTGTTCACATGTACACTTCAACGTCTTCAGCGCGGCTCGTCGTTTTCATTGTCTTGCTCACTTTTATTCGGAGGGAGGCAGACGGCGCTCGCTTCGTTCCTTTTAAAGCCAGCTGAAAGACGGCTTGCTGAGGGTGTAGCGTGTCACCTAAAAAAACCCGGCAGTGAGGGGAGGGGAGTAGGTTTGTTTCCCGCTGACAGAAGCTGTGCAACAAACACCCACGGTGGGCCGCACCGGATAAAAACACCCTTTCAAATCACATATTTATCCCCAGAACAACTGATTGTTTACTTGTTATGCCGTGATTCACACCGCCTTAATTGTCTTAAAAGCCTCTGAAATGATACTCCAACTTTTTTTTCTCCTTCCTTTTCTTCTTCTGACACTCGCCCACATCTCCTGGAAACTTTTTTGTGTCCTTTTTCTTTTTTCCCTAAGAAGAGCGGTTATGTAAGCTCCTGGGCTATTAAAGCAGTCTTATCGGAATAAAGATCTGCCTCCGTCTCCTGGAACACCTTCATGGTAAATACTCTTCTGGGTGATGACATCCACTCCAGACTTCCCAATTACTGCCTCAACATCTGACCCTGGGTGTGCATGATGGCATGGCGCAGTGTGTGTGCGCGTGCGTGTGTGTTGTACTCGGGATATTCTCCAGCTTTCAGTGCTTGCAGGTACCTCTCTCGGTTTCTACATCGAGACAACACGGCGACCCCTCTTGACCACTTCTGAGAGAGCTGTTGATCCCTCAGCCGTCAGCGCCGAGTCTGATCATGTGTTTAATTCAAGGCGTAGAAAAGGAGCGGACTCCTTAAGTAGCCGACGGGCTCGGGCCCCCATGGCGGTGATTTCTTTTCTAATACCGCGACTGTCATCACGCTGAAGGGCTCTGCACGGCTCCCTGACGAGGCGCATTATTTAACGTGAGCAATGACTCGCTCCTCTGGGACGCGCGAGAGCCGAGCGAAGAGTGGCAGATTGGGTCACGGGCGGAGACGGTGGGCTTAATGAATGCACCCATTAGCACGCTCCATTACCTTCACCTTTATTTGCTTGTAGTCTCCCACCTGTTTGGCCCGCGGTGCTTCTGTCAATTTCGAGTTGACTCAGACACCTAATGTGTAGCGCGGATACATTAATCAGCCAGGCATCTCGAGGTGAAGTGCCAAAATATCCAAGAAAGACGTGGAGTTTCACTTCTTCTTCCGCGGCGCCTTTTCTCCAATTCTTCGCCGCGGATTAAAACACGTCTCCTTAGTCAGGCTTTCATCTGAGCTTAACTTGAAATGTGAGCAATAATTTCAATCAGCAGTCGCTCACGACACAGAATCTCGACTCGGAACGCTAATGACTGTTCTGACATGACGCCACTTCGACTGTACTCCCAACGCCCCATGAACGAGGAAACAAGTGGCCCCAACAAAGCTAATCACTTGAAACGACTTCATGCTATTTGGTCACTTATTACCAGGAGTGTTACACTGACAGCTAAAAATACCATCAACTCCCTGAGCAAGTTCAATGGAAGGTTTAAGCAGTGGAACACAAACAATAGTTTGTTTTTTCCCACTTGAAGCTTAACAGTGTGCTTCTCTGACTTTGTTCTCTTTAGACAACTATTCTTGTGTGTGTAAGAGTGTGTGTGCGTCAGGTGAGTGGTGGGGATCTTCAGTCTGCTGTGGTCAGTATCTAAGGAAGGAACAGAGCTGAATCGGTGACAGGACTCTTGAGGCCTGAAGGAAATTAAGCCTGTGAGGATTGGAAGCTAGCTGGTGATGAGCTAGCCTGGACGTTGCCTTCCTGTGCTATTC